TCCATCCAGCCGTCCATCCAAGCTTCCATCCAGCCTTCCAGATCCAGACCCGAGCTTCGAAATCTTGGAAAAACACCAACCCACTGTTTCAGATCGAGTGAAGGAGCGAGTAAGATATCAGGAAAAGAGGGAAGCCGGTTTGGAACAAGTTAAACGTGCCAAGAGTGTGCGAGCAAGGACTCTTGCTGCCACACAACAATCTCCTTATACAGCAAACAACACGGCCAAAGTGATCATTCCAAACCCAAACCAAAAAGGCCAAAGTCGAAGCAAAAAGGCCAACATCGCTTCCAAAAAGGCCAACATTGCTTCCAAAAAGGCTCCAGTCTATAATCTGTTTGGATCAGTTAACAAGACCAAACTGAAGCAGCTCGCTGATTGGTTGAAAACGGATCCGTAAGTGATCCATAATAGCTTGCTTTTTAGTCAACAAAACTGATTTCTGACTGAACATTTTGTGTTTGCAGCTGGTATGAGACACCTTTGGATGATAAACCACGTACAGCGCCAACTAAGTGGTATTACATCCTCCGAACCTCCTTATCTTGGCTGCATGACTGTGTAAGTGTATCTTTTGACTATAATTCCACGTAGACGACTTACCGTTAAGTCGTCTTCTACATATTCTACGTAGACGACTTATCAGACGACTTACCGTTAAGTCGTCTGGTAAGTCTTCTTTGTAGACGACTTACCATTAAGTCGTCTGATAAGTCGTTCACAAAGAATACTTACAAGACGACTTAATTGTAAGTCGTCTGTTAAGTCGTCTACGTAGAATACTTACAAGACGACTTACCATTAAGTCGTCTGATATCTTCTGAGTTGTTTTATTCTAAATGCATCACATTGATGCTTAGATTTATGTGCTGAGGAAGAGGTACGCTGAACATCCACAAGCGTTCAAGAGCGAGAGGATTTGCTTCCTTGATCATCTCTTTGCTCAGCAATGGGGTGCCAGCTACAACGTCTTTAAGGAATCGGAGCCTGCTCTCAACAGTTTGGGAAGAAGACTCCCTGGTGGACCAGAAGACTTATCCGTAAGTCTTTTACATCCAGATGACTTACGGGTAAGTCTTCTACGCGAAGAGATCTGGAAAAAAATTCAATTTCAAACCTTAAACTAGGTGAGATGACTTCCTTTGCACACAGAGTCATCTCCAACCACCCAGAACATCGAACGAAAGTAACCCACCAACAATTGTATGCTTAAATGGCTCTATCAACCATAAAAATTTTGCTATCAAAAGCTTGGGTTTTTGGTATGAATATGGAGACAAAGTGAAGAAGATATTGTTTTTAGTTCATAACAATTGAGAAAGAGAGTATGAGTATCGATTTTAAATGCATTAAAAACTTCAAACCTTGGTTGTACAAGGTTGTTGGGAGTATTCATGGCAATGGCAATGTTGTAAATACTTGAAGATGATGAGGTTAAGAGAATAAAAATGCCATTTTAGAAAAAAAAAATCTAATGGCACTTTCGTAAATAAAATAAAGATGTGGGGTGAATAGAACAAAAACAAAATAAGTTAAAAGAAAAAATTAGTTTTGTGTTTGACTATAAGTTTTGAGTCAATTTTGCAAAAACTCTTAGTCACAAACTTCTTTAGTTGTTCCCATGCAGCCAAAGCCAAATGACACGCAGATTCTGTTCTTCTCCTCTTCACTCAATTTTGTTTAAATAAACTGATATTAAAAATAATAATAAAAATAGAAAATAAAATAAATAAAAAGAAAACAGACACAATAATACGGTCCAAGTCCATGGATCTTCTCCATTATCCCGAATTTATTTGATTTTGATATTATTGTCTAGAATATTTGTCTTCATTCGAGAACTTATTTATCTCAAACGATTCTGCAAATTCTTGTACTTGCCGACATAACATTTGTGCAGGAACCAAATTAAAACTCCAACACAATTTACTGTCTAGATTTTTGTTCCTATTATAATAATTTATCTTGCATATTGTACGAACCAATCACAAATGTTAATATATATATATATATATATATATATATATATATATATATATATATATATATATATATGTATTTGTTCATGCATATCTTGATTAGCTTCTAATTGGTCTACAACGTTGTTTTAATGCTACTGTTTATATGTTTTAATGCAGTGGCTACTTTTGTTAAATTGGAAAAAAATCTAATTAGATGTCACTATTGTCAAAGTCTATAACAAAAGTAACTTTTGAATTCTTAATTAAGACCTAAAATTGACCTATCAGATAATTTACTATTTAGTAAGCAAAACAAGAAACTATAAGAAGTGAAAACAAGATAATAACTTCCTACGACGACGTAAACAGTCAAAAAGTTTTTCCATAAAAGACAAAACAGTCAAACTATTTATTTGGTCTTGTAATGATCTTTTTTTTGGTTATGTGATTATAGGCTTGATGTAACAGAAGTAAGTGGGAGCTGTCTCGGTGGGTCCCATGTTCGTTCCCAGTCTTTCGCATTTTAGTTTGACCAAATTTATTGATTTTATAAATAAAATACAACACACGATCGGTATTGATTTTCATATACATATGGTAGATAATAATAAATTCGGTGGTTGTGGCTACTGAACAAGTATACGATCTTCGTTGTCAAAAAAAAAAAAAAAAAAAGTATACGATCTTAACCAAATAAAAATACAAGTATCCAACTGGCGATACGATCATCAATTATGAGTATAGACATCGAGTATAATAACAAGTGATTTGTATACGAAAACACATTAAATATTTCGCTTTTGCGGTATCGTTATATGAAAACTGAATTCATATATACTTTGGATAAATATGTCTTAAGCTTCACTTCTAAGATTATGTAATCCATCTCTTTTCAAATCAATAGATGTTTTCACCTTTTCATATATATTAATAAAATAAAATTTAATTTAATTATAGTTACATTATTTTATTATTAACAAATTTTAATAAAAATACTAGTTTGAAAAACTTATGTTTAGAAACTTATATTTTATCCATTAGCTAATAAATTCCAAAGTTACATTTTTACATATAAAATTGGGTAAGAACAAAAACTTATCTTTATAATTTAAAAAAAAATTCTGGAAGCCGGAAATTTCCCAACATAAAATGACTTGAAAAGGAAAAAAAAATGACTTGAAAAAGAAAAACAATCTGTGAATTTTCTCAATCTTGTTCATATGTGTGAAAAAACAAATATATATATTAGAACGTAAGGCCGTGAGTAGAAGTATAAATGAAATAATATATGGTGCCGAAATAGTTGAAGATTGTTTAACAAAAATATAAGAATAATGTTTGAACAGTTTTTAATGATCTTACTAATCCAAAAAACCATTGGTATTAACGAAGAAATAATAACAAAACAAAAGTCAGTGAAGACCCAACACAAATTTTTCTTGGTTTGGTTCAATTACTCAACAAAATCTAGATACATTTAACATCTCAACTATAAACCAAAATGAAACCTACAATTTGATGGCGGAAGATAGATAATAGACTATGTTCGACATGCTTAATTATGTTTTAAATACTGAGATTGTTATTTTACAAATTCTTACACATTACACAAATTAAGATATATTTAATAACTGAATGTTAATATCATTTTTATTTAGTTATAATTTTTTTCTTGATTTAACTTAACATGTATTTTCTAGGGCTGGACAAAAAATCCAAACCCAAAAAACCAAACCGAATCTGATCCAAAAATTAGTACCAAATGCGAATCGAAATTAGTTAAATATCCGAGCGGATTCAAAATTTTGATATTTAGAACCGAACTGAACCGGATCCACCAAACTATTTTAGGTATCCGAATATATGTGAATAAGATTTATATACTTGAATATGTTAGTTATTTTTAGATTTAATCTCCAAATTATGTCCAGCATATTTGAATATATATACAAGTAGTCAAAAAATAAATATCTAAAATAGTTAAACGATGCTCAAAATACCAACATTAATTAAAATATCTATTGAATCTCCATCCAAATGTTCAAACCAAATTAATTTTATGTTAGATTTAGGTATTTTTCATACATTATATTAAATTTTTATGTTATATATTATTTTTATTTTCAGATTTTGGAAAATTTAAAGTATATATGAATTATAAGTTATAATATAATTTAAATAAATTATCCGAAACCGCAAAGATCTGAACCGAACCCGAACTTGAAATTTATAAATCTTCGAATAGAGCTGAAATTTGTAGCCCTAAAAACCTGAAATCTGAATGGACCCGAACCGAATCCGAAGGAATATCCGAACACCCGTATATTATGTCAATAAAGCAAAATAATGATATTTTTTAGAAATGGTCGAATACCATAAGTCGACTATTACTTTTTAAAAATAGATTTATTAGAAAATTCTTTAACATTTGGAGTAATGATTTTCTTATAAGTTTTAGTATTAAAAGGTGAATGTTGAGTTTATAAACTTTTATAAATGATATATAGATCTTACTTAAATATTTATTACATAAAATAATATAAACATCAATCTCCTTAGGGAAAATTTCAATTCTACTATAAGTTTGGTATCACTTTTAAATTTATCATTAATTAATAATTGTTTTCACAAATACTCTAAATTTGTGATAAAAGAACACTGAGTTTTTTTTTTAAGAAATATTTATAGAACATCTGTAAACTTAACTCCAATTCTTAATACTAAACCCTAAAAAAATAATAACTAAAGTCTAAATCCAAATGTTTACTATATTTTATCATTGGTTATATTTTTAAAAAGTGGTACTCAATTTATGGTATTTCTAACAATTTCTCTCTTTTTTTTAACAAATCATTTTTGTTGAACAACTGTTATCACAAGTAAATAATTAGTTTGTGTTCATCTTTTATGCGAAGTTGATAACATTTTATAAAAACAACTAACTTTATCGTTTTTTTCAAAAAAAGCTAATTTTATCCGAACAGGTAAAATATTTATAATATTTTTTATTTATAAATTAAATTTACCAGATGAACTAACGAACAAAGTTATAAAAGTAACACGTGTGGCGCATACCCTGCGCAGATAAGGTCTCCTTCCTTCGTCTTCCTTCTCTCAAATTCCAAAAAATCCACAAAGCTCAGAAGAAAATAAAAACTTCCAAAAATGCCGGGGAATTTAGAACCGTTGGATATAGGCATCCAAATCCCTTACCATTTCAGATGCCCAATCTCCCTGGAGCTAATGTCGGATCCAGTAACCGTCTCAACCGGTCAGACTTACGACCGCACAAGCATCGAGTCATGGATCGCCACCGGGAACACCAGTTGCCCCGTCACACGCCTCCCTCTCTCCGACTTCACTCTCATCCCTAACCACACTCTCCGCCGCCTAATCCAAGAATGGTGCGTCGCCAACCGCTCCAACGGCGTCGAACGGATTCCCACGCCGAAACAGCCGGCGGATCCGATTTCCGTCCGGTCTCTCCTCAGCCAAGCTTCCGCGATTACGGGAACTCACGTCTCCGTTCGCTCACGCGCCGCCGCGATTCGCCGTCTGAGGGGATTGGCTAGGGATAGCGAGAAGAATCGCGTCTTGATCGCCGGCCATAACGCGAGGGAGATTCTCGTAAGGATTCTGTTCGCTGACGTGGACGCTGGAGTCGAAACGACGTCGTCGTCTTCGGAGGTTGTTTCCGAGTCGCTCGCTCTTTTGGTTATGTTTCATATGACGGAGGGAGAGTGCGAGTCTATCTCCTCGGATCCGGGTCGGGTCGGGTTTACGACCCGGTTACTGTTCGATTCCTCGATAGAAAACCGCGTCAACGCCGCGGCGTTGGTGGAGATGGTGCTGACCGGATCCAAATCCACGGATCTGAAAGTGACGATCTCCGGGTCGGGTTCGGTATTCGAAGGCGTGATGGATCTTTTGAGAAGTTCTGTTTCGTCGCGGCGCGCTTTGAAGATCGGAGTCAAAGCTCTCTTCGCTCTCTGCCTCGTGAAACAAACGCGCCACCTCGCTATCTCCGCCGGAGCTCCGGGGACTCTGATCGACCGTTTAGCGGCGGACTTCGATAGGTGCGATACGGAGAGGGGTTTAGCGACGGTGGAGCTTCTCTGCCGGATGCCGGAGGGATGCGCGGCGTTCGGAGAGCACGCTTTGACGGTGCCGCTTCTCGTGAAGACGATCTTGAGAGTGTCGGATAGGGCGACGGAGTACGCGGCGGGAGCGTTGTTGGCGTTGTGCACGGCGGAGGAGAGGTGTAGAGACGAGGCTGCGGCGGCGGGGTTGGTGACGCAGTTGGTGCTTTTGGTGCAGAGTGATTGTACGGAGAGAGCGAAGAGGAAAGCTCAGATGCTTTTGAAGCTTCTTAGAGATTCTTGGCCGGACGAAACTGTTGTGAACTCCGACGACTTTTGATTTAATGAAAACCAGGATTGAACACCGGTTAACATTTAACCAAATTAATCAATTGAACCGGGTCATTACATACAAAAGAGCGTTAACTGTTGTTATTCAAAATAGTATTACAATTAATCAATACAAAAGAGCGTTAACTATGGCTATGGGAACTAATTTGAGATCCCCACGCAGCAGCTAAGCAAAATTTTGGTATGTCTACATCTCACCACAATCTTACTTTACCTGATAAGTGACAGTCAGACACCAACATAAAGATCAGTCTTAACGAATGAGCAAGCAGCATTAACACAGTTAAAAGATTCAAAACCAAAGGGATCACTCACAATTAAATGGCGCATGGGGAGGAGGAAGTAAAAGGCAATGAGGGTCTCAACTTGCGAACGCTTTGTGTATGAAGACAAAAACGATAATGACAATCCTTTTATTACATGTAATGTTCAGTTATCAAAAACAGTAATGAAAACCTTTGTAGCATACCAGATTAGGAATTGTAGTATATGATGCCAAAACTCCTCTTACAAACCTAGATCGGGTTAATAACCTAATTTTGACCAAAAGTTAAACAAAAAAAAAAATCAGGAAGGCATCGTTTTGGTCGTTTTGAGACAAAAGCAAAGCACTATTTAAAACCAAGCTTCACCCTCTAAATTAACCGTATGCTATCAAACACGGATGGGAAGAGTTTTGCAGCTGCAGAACCAATTAAAATTGCTACTCTGAATGTTTTTCCGTACTTGTATAAACTATATCGTGTGGGAAATTAAAAAAAAAAACATATACGCAACAACAAAAACACAATATAGTATGTAACTTTACAATTTTTTCAAAGATGATAAGGCATCGTATAAAGTACTCCGTGCATACCAGACTACGGTCTAGTTTACTGCGAATCATAGCTATCAAGGGTAATGAGAAGTTTGCAAAATCTAAAGATTCTGATCTCTTGCTATCCAATAGAAATAAGTCATGTTGTTTATAGGTATAAATAATCAAGAGTTCAACTTACGATTTATAAAATATCAAAGTGACAAAAACCAAACATCAAAATTATAAGAGAGTAAGACGACCTTGATTCATCTTTAATTTGTCTTGCCATAAGCAACCATTCTGTTAGGAGGAAGCTTCTTCTCAGCTTCACGTCTTCTTCTCTTCGCCTTCCTTGATAGTTTGCTTGTTTCAGCGTCGCCTTCCTCATCTGCAATCGGTGCTGCTGGCTTCTTCTCCTTAATAACATCTCTCTTCTCTTCACCATCGCTCTTCTTGCTCTTCTTCTTGCTTCTCTTCTCATCGGCGGGATTATCAACCCTCTCCAGCAACTCATTGAACTTAAGTTTATGCTCCTTAACCTTGTATTTGTTCACCTCCCAGTCCTTTTCCATGTAAGGAGCCATCTTCTTCAATGGTACGTACTGGTTCAGCTCTGTGTCGTCCAAGAAGAGTATCTCTTCTTTCTCAAGCCCGTAGCTGTTTGGTTGTACTTTCGCATACTTAAACCTTGTTTTCAAATCACCAATTGTGTCCTCATATTCAAGCTTGTAGTACTCCTCCATCAATGCTTCCTCTGTCTCTTCTTCTTCATCATCATCACTGGCACTATTCTCCTTCTGCTTCAAAACCTTTTCTCTCGTGGCTGTAAACCCATCCCCACTCTGAATCACATCCCAATTCTTTGGGAGTCCAAGAAGTTCATCTTCCTTGTCAAAGTCAGGCTTCTCATCACCATCATCTTCATCACTATGCATCAACTCTGAGTCCTCAGCACCGTAGTAAGTATCATCAAAAGCAGCTTTCATCATCTTATCATACTCCTCAGGATCAAACTCATCGTCCAAGCCTCTTGCATCTAAAGGAAACTCTTCTCCTTCTTTAAACCCAGCAATAGAAAGAACCTTCTTCATCTTCTCCTTAATCTCATTCTTCTTGACATTCTTGAGACGCTTAAGCTCTTCTTGCCTCTCAATCTCAGCAATTTTCAATCTATCCTCCTTGTTCTTCCTCTGTTTTTTCCTTGCGTTATCCTTCTTCCTCACGGAACCTTCAACAATCCTAGACTGACCCATAACAATCCCCCCTGCATCCTCTTCATGACGATACTTAGCCTCAAACTCCTCTTGCTTAATAACCAATAACTCGTCATCTGAGATTTGATCAAGCTCTGCTTCATCAATAATCACTTGAGTTTTGCTCTCCTTCCACATCTGTTTCAGTAAGTAATCTCTCAAGAACTTGTCGCTTTCACCAATCTCAGACTCTTTACCGAAATACTCATCAGCAATCTCCTTAAGCTCATCATCTTCTTCTTCTTCCTCCTCATCATCATCATAACCTTCCTTGACTTTCAAGAGATCTTCATCATCATCACTCTCTTCCCCTCCAGCCTCCACAGCATCAGACACAGCTCGCCTCAACTCCTCTTGCTGCTCACCGTAAGTCTCACTCCTCTCTTCATCTTCCTCCTCAAGCAACTGCTGTGCCTGAACATCTTTCAGATACATCTTCTTCTTCTTCTTCTTCTCGTCCTTAAGAACCTTCTTCTTTACGGCATCATCGTTTTGGCCTGTAGCTAGATACTCAGGGTCACGTTTCCTTAACTTAACCAAAGATTCGATCCACACAGATACTTCACCAACTCCGATCTCCTCCTCAGGATCAGAAGCTTCTTCTTCTTCGGATTCGTCTTCTACGTCCTCATGGATTATACCTTCCCTCACCGCCGCCTCGTATCGCCTGAGATCGGTGCGTTGTCTGTTGTTTTCCAACCTAAGAAGGTATTCATTGTCCACCTCAAACTCAACAGGGGCATTGTTCGGAGGAGAGTCTCCTTCGTCGTCGAACAGATTGGTAGGCATCTTCTTCTTCGTTGGGAATTTTTGGTGGATGCTAGGGTTTTTGATGTCTTGTGAATGGTTGAAGTCGTTTTCATTTATACAGACTAGAGTAAACCAGCCCGGTTCGATAGTAGGATTGAACCGGTTCAGTTTCTGGTTGGATATTGATTCTAACATTAAGAATCCAGCTATTAGCTTGATGGAGTTATAAGGAGAAGCTGGAGCTTATACTTGAAGAAAAGGACAGTAATGAAGAATAAAGCGTGAGTGTTTGCAAGCTTCTTACGCAAAGGGAATCAACTCGTCTGTGTTGTTGATTCACAATCAAGGTGATCAATGGCGTTGAAGTGTGTAACATTTAAAAAAAAAAAGAAAAAAGTGTCTAACATTTCTCAAGTATATATAGATGATTTTAAATGGGGATGTCGCAGGCACTCGACTGATGGAGAGGTCGCCATCATGATGCTTATGGCATATTTCATACATGCTTGCTGAGGTTAGATTCTGTGAAAACTTATTACTTTTGCATTGGTTTTTAGGCATGCAACACATTCACTTTTATAATCCGTTTATTATTGTTATTTTGTTGGGATTGCAGCTCTTAACCTTCTTGAGTGATATTATCACTGTATTTTCCGTGGTATTGTGATGTCCCAGTTTCTCTATTTTTTTCTTGAAATCATAGCGACATACCTGCCATATTTTCTGTTATTTCAGCCAAATGGACCACGACCAAGATTCGACTGGTATCTCGAGACTGCTTGTGTATCTGCGTGGCAACACTGATTGTGGAAACGAGTCAGTTTGTAAGCTTACCAAAGCTTGGAAGTTTGATCTGTTTGATGAGCATCCCAAGATTAAATGCGCTGGATAAGGACTTGCCAGATCATGTTTTATGGCGTGTAGCTATATGAAAATGGATATAGTTTTTACAAAATCAATGGTGTGTTTTCTCTTCGGTCTTTTTTTTTATATCTTTGTTGGAAGGATTCGATATTGGGTTGTACCACTATGTGTATTTCTTATTTTCCGTTGAAAACAAAAAAAAAATAACACAAGTTTCAAAACAGAGAGTGATCCTCCAAAGATGTAAACATAGTCTAAAAATGTAGAAAAGCATCATAAAGATGTAAACATAGTCTAAAAATACATAATATATGAGGGACTCACGTGTTAAATTATTGATGTTTTGAATAATTATTTTAAACATGTGTTAAATATGTTTTAACTATCAAAACATGTTATTTATTTTTTAATAATTTTGATTATTATATTAAAACATATAAACTTAGTTTGTCATTTCAAGCTCTTTATTATGCTTTTCTACATTTTTAGACGAGTTATTCTTGGGTTCACCCCCTATTTCATATTGATATCTTTAAAAAAGGAAACAAAATCTTGTTAAGTTATATTATGTTTTTAAAAATAAAAATACAAAAAAAAACAATTAATAAAAACGAAAATGATCTTTTTTTAAAGAAAATATTTTAACACTAAACCCTAAAATCTAATCCTAAACCCTAAACCCCTGGGTAAATCATAAACCTTTGGATAACTTTTATAAAAAAAAAGTTTAAAATTTTTTTTTTTAACACTAAACCCTAAAATCTAATCCTAAACTCTAAACCCTTGGGTAAATCATAAACACTAAACCTTAAACTCTAATCCTAAACCCTAAACCCTTGGGTAAATCATAAACATTAAATTTTTAAAACATTACAAGATTTATCTAAAGGTGTATGATTTAGCCATGGATTTAGGGTTTAGGATTATAGTTTAGGGTATAGTGTTAAAATATTTTATTTAAAAAGAATTATTTTCATTTTTATTTATTTATTTTATATTTTTATTTTTTTAACATAATATAAATTAATAAGATTTTTTTTCTTTTTTAAAAAAATATCAAATATGAAATAGTCAAATCCTATTGAATGGTGAACCTAGAGGTTCACCCTAGGGGGTGAACCCAAGAATAAGTCATATATTATTACTAGACTAGGATTATGGCCCTTGCTATGCATGGGCATTACTTTTCTTATACTATTATGTTCTAAATTTGAAAATATTTCTGTAACTCTTTTTGATTAAAATAATCTTAATTGGGAAAAATAAATATAAATACTTATGAATAAAAATAAAATAGTAAATTTATATTTATGGCTAACTTCCATTGGCTCATCAAAAATAAATTCAACTTTTTATTAGAATATAAAGAATCCATACAAAATTGTTAACTATTATTTAGATAATTACAAATGATCTTGCATAAAAACCATAAAATATGTACATTTAAATTTCTATATAATATTATAAATTTTTTTGTCAAAATTAAAACAAAAAATATTAATTTCATAGTTTGAAATTTTTTTTTATAGTTTGGAGATAGACTCATTTTAATTATATTGCTTCTTCTTTTTACGGAGACAGAAAGAAATACACATAATTGATTTTAATTACCTTTGCTATATACGTACATGTTGTTGAACTAATTAGCCTCACATCCAGACTTCAGTAAAGTTCTTTCTTCTACTAAAATTCATAATTTATATGTATTTTTAAAATTCATTTTTTATTATTTTAAATATTTTTTTAGGATTTGTATAAAGAAAAACTACAATTGAAAACTTATAGTTTTTTGTTTACTTTATTTTTTTTTTTAAAAAATTGCATCTTCAAAATTTATTTATTATTTTAAGATATATATTAAAAATCATCATCAGTCTAAGAAGAAAAACAAGTATTAGAAATAATTATTCTACAAATACTTTTTGTTTAGGATTTAAAAAAAAATCTATTAAACATTCTTTAATAATTCTCTTATGTTCAATTCTCTTATGTCCAAGATTTTGGAAATGGACAACTACTATACAATAGGTTTTTTCAAATACCTTTTATTCGAAATTTTGGAAAAGGAAAATTAGTATATTGATATTAAAAAATTTAAAACATTATTTTTATTTGTAAAATCATTTTCATTTTTCTTCGTAGATATATTTTGTTAATATGATATATTTTTACATAGATAAAATTCTAATAGTAAAACTACTATCAAATAATAATTTTTAGGAGTTTAGAAAAGAAAAATTGATAATAATCTATTTTACGATTTTTGTTTTGGATTTGTAAAAAAAAAAAAGGAAAACTACAATTAAACACTCTTCATTTTTTCTTTTACTTTAAAAAAATATTTAAAACTATTATTTTCAAAATTATTATTTTTTATTTTTATTTTAAATCTTTGTGTTTATAATTTGTAAAAAGGAAAACTACAATTAATTTAGCATCTTTTTCTTTTAATTTTTTAAAAAATTTAAAATTAATATCTTCAAAATTCTTTTTTATTATCTTAGTATATATATACTTCTAATTATGAGATTTTTAATACATGTCACAATATTAAATGGAAAACTACTATCAAATATTGTTTTTGTAAATATCATTTATTTAAGAATTTAAAAATGGAAATTATTATTACATATAATATTTCTATTTTTTTTAAATTCGTTTTTGTTATTATATATTTATATCTATTAATTATGAAATAGTTTAACACATTTCACAATCGTAAATATATAATAGTCATGTGTCACAATCTTGTTAATTAGTAACGTTGAAGAACTAAGATTTATATAATATGATATAAAGCTGGGGTTTTCAAAGTTGCTAGTTAACATGATTGTAACACATGACAATTATAAATTTAAGATTGTAACATGTGTTAAATTATCTTAGAATTAAAAATATATACTAAGATGATAACAAAAACAAATTTGTTAAAAAGTAATTATTTAACAGTAATTTTTATTTTTTATTTTAAAATATTATTTGATAAGTATTTTCCTTTTAATATTGTGACATGTGTTAAAATATCTTATGTTTAAACGAAATTGGAAAAGGTAGTTTAAATTTTGGGCTTTTTGCAAATTTGACTCAAAACTCCAAGTCAAACACAAAACTAACCTCTTCTTTTGACTCATCTTGTTTTTGTCCTATTCACCCCACATCTTCATTTTATTTACGAAAATGCCATTTAAATGTTTTTTGAATTTTTTTTCGAAAATGGCATTTTTACTCTCTCAACCTCATCATCTTCAAGTATTTACAA